AGCAAGTATCCAAGATACATGCTCTTGGATTCAGCCAAAATTAAGAGCATGCTCCAATTAGATTCACGAATTTTACAACAAGTTGCAAAGCAGCTCTCTCTGCTGAACGCAGCCATTGTTTGGGCTCCAATTTGTCCTCCCCACATTGGCTGCCCATTTTACTCTTCAATTTATATCACAAGGAAATACTTTCATGATATAGTCTTTTACACTTGAATTATTACAATTTGGCGCACAACAACTGGGCATTGTTTATTACTTTTGCTTACACGCCTGCTATAGTGATCGTACACAGTCATACTATAGCTATTAGTTTGACAAAACATAGCGGCACCTATACAAATCGGGGACGTTATTTTGGAACTCTGATTCAAGGGTCTCTAATTGAAATCAGGCTGGTGACCGCTCTCATGCTTCTCTCTGTTTATATTTAAAATCATTTTATATTCATCATCAGATGCTATACAAATCTTTATACTGGTTACAGAGCATTTGAAAACGAATTTAAGCAATCTTAAAACTAACGACACACGGTACTTTGTGTTGGGTTGCTTGCTGAATAGAAATACTCTATTTTGATCGGAGCATTTCATCTATCTTCAGAAATGCACCAATCAGAACATAGTTTTCATCCAGTAAGCAAAAAACTATAAGATGCGTAACACAAACTATATATATATATATATCGCAATACTGGCAATGAATATCGGAACGTATTTTAACGTTATCATATCTAAAATACGATATTGCAAAGGCTGTTTACGATAATTCGAGTTGGATTAAGTACGAGTTAGTTTCACTAGGGCCGAGAAATATGATAGGCACAAGCATCTAGTATTTTCAAGATTTATGACAACTCAATGCTGTCCGATAAATCGAGTAGAGTAGAGTAGAGTTAGGGTAGTATAGCGGATAGTATATGTATAAGAATTAACAGTATCAGATAACATAGTTTCGTAAAATATGTAACAATAATATTACAAAACAATTATTTATTATATTTTAGAAAAATTAGAAGCACTAAATTAAATTATGAAAATGATATTAATTTAATGTATTTGTGAAATATTCAATAATAATAGGTTAGAATAATTGTTTTCTACTTTTGGATATTTCACAAATACATGATACCTTTTCATAATTTAATTTAGTGCTTCTAATTTTTCTAAAATGCAACAACTCATTGTTTAGTAATATTATTGTTATATATTTTACGAAACTATGTTACCTGATACTGTTAATTTTTATACATATACTATCCACTATGTTACCCTAACTCTATTCTACTCTACTCTACTCGATTTATCGGACAGCATTGAGTTGTCATGAATCATGAAAATACTAGATGCTTGTGACTATCATATTTTTCAGCCCTAGTGAAACTAATTCGTACTAACTCCAACTCGAATTATCGTAAACACCCAAAAACTTCCTAATATCAAACAATTAATCACAATTAATCACATTAATCGCCGATTACTTATGTATACATTTCTTTTGTTTAGAAAGAAATAAAAGATAAGAAAAACATGATATTGGAAATATATGATTTATTGGAAATATATCCTTTTAATGTTAATATTTTCAAGTTTTTTACAGCGTAAAAGTCTTATATAAGATATTGTTGTGTATAAGCCAGGCAGCAAAAGTAAGAGCAAATAAATTCTCAACAAAGATGGGAAATGAAAAGCAAAATTATAAGTATTTGGTAGACGGTAAATTGTTTAGTCTCTTCAAAGTATGGAATATTAAGGAGTACTATGTAATACCTTCACATAAAAAACCCAATGGGTATAATAGGATTCATATTGTGTATACGAAACATAATATAGGAAAAAAGTATTAAAAAATTATGATAAATATTTCGAACATTGATATTTATTATTTTTTGTAAGTAATTTATTATTTTACTTTATTGTACTTTATTATTTTTTTATAAATAAAGGCTTAAAAAGGCACGGAATTATTTTGCGCACCTAATAATATAACTATTTTCTGTTATTTTATTGCTATATATGCAAATTTATAAAATATGTTTATATTTTTATAAAATTGCATTCTGCAGTTACATAAGCTTATTGATAAATTTACCAACAGGAGATTATTAAATAACGTAATTTTCTATTATGCTAAATTCCATAAGGCCGACGGTCTTTAGCATTATTTCATTGGTGTCTCAAGAGAGTTTTAAGATTCAATAACAAGTTAATAACTTTTATTTTCAAGTAGTACGACAGATTAAAGAGAGATTTTTCTTTTATATAACATGCATATTTATAGGAAATAAATCAATTCGCAAATTTTGTTCACTTGATTATTACATCTAAAAAATATTTACATATTAACAAAAAATTATAATTTTATATATATATATATATATATATATATATATATATATATATATATATATATATATTTTTATATATATATATATATATA